TTATTATTATTATTATAATTATAACGTCCGGCCAGCCTCAGTGCTGCTACCATAATGACAGTAGATGGTACTACCTGCAGCTGTTCCAACTGCCTTGTAGGTGCATACGGGAGTATGATAGGCTAAGGGAGTAAACTCTAAACAAATCCGGAGGGAGGGCTCCTAAGGCAGTCGACAGTCAGGAACGATCCGAACTATCTTCTGGCAGACCTTGCAATTCTGCTAGTTCCAAATGTATTAACCTCGTCGCTCCTTTGGACTAAATCAGCAAAGTCGAGAGGTGGTTCTTGCAAATTGGGCAAGGCACGTTCTCCATAGTCAGGCCCAGGCATTTAGCTTAGTCAAGATTTCAAGATTTCAAGATTTCCGGGAGGATGCTGCAAGAGAGCAAAAATGCAGCGGATCAGACCCACAGCTCAACCACAGCTACAGCAGCATTTATATGACTATGGAGAGGACATTTCATCCTTGTTGTGATAAGCAAGGGAAAAACACGGGGGGTGGCAATTTACGGGTTATAAGGCATCCTTATTTGGCGAAACAGGATGTCGCCACAGGTCACCTTTGACGATGGGAGTAACTATTGAGTCGCATTGATCAGTTACCGCCCATCTCAAACTGGGCTGCCCCCAGAGAGTAAGGTGTTGATCCACCACGTTTGTTTGCTTCTATGTGTGTATAGGACAAAAACCGAAACTCACCACCAGGCAAAAGAAGTAAAACTAACCCCATGGAAACTGGGGGCCTGAAATGTTAGAACACTGACAACCGGTTTGGACACTGTCAACCTGGAGAAAACAGAGGACATCAGAAAGACAGAAATCATGGACAGGGAGGTCACACGACTCAATGTAAACATCACTGCCACGCAAAAGACAAGACTTGCTAACTCTGGTACCATCAGTGAAAGAAACTATACATTTTTCTGGAAGGGTCTAGGGGGGAGATGAGAGGAGAATCCATGGTATGGGTATGAGTACACAATAGATTGCTGAACAGGATCAGCACCTCCAAGGTTTATCTGAACGTATCACTTTCACGGAAATGGAAATCAAAACTTGAAGGGCTCACTTCATCAGCGCCTACACCCCAACCCTAACAGCAGAAAATGAGAAAAAGACCAGTTTTACGAGGAGCTTCAGAATGCAATCACCAACGTCCCAACAACAAACCAACTGTTTCTCATGGGTGACTTTAATGTAAGAGTGGGTATTGAAAACAAAGTATGGCCAACCTGCATTGGACCTTTTGGGGAAAAAAATCAATAAGAATGGCCAGAGGCTCTTAGAATTCAGCGCAAATAACAACCCTTGCATCACTAACACATTCTACAGTGGCAAGGACAGACACAAGGTATGTTGGTGCCGTCCAAGATCAGGCCATTGACACCAAATCGACTTCATCATCGTCAGAAAAAAGATGTCAACATGGTAAAGCAAAAAAAAATCCTTCTACAGTGCTAATTCAAAGATAGTTACTAAGAAAACTCCAAGAGCTAAAATAAAAGAAATGCCAAAGACCCTGCGTTAAAGGCAAAATTTCAAGAACATGTCAAAGAACAGCTCCTACATCTAGATAGCTCATCCCCAGACAGCATGTCGAATAGCATGAAATCAACAATGTATAATTCTGCGTCAATTACCTTTGGAATGGAGAAAGACCTTTCAAAGAAGACTGGGTTGAAGCCAGTGCATCACGCGCACCACTACTCGAGATCGTAGGATCCTGATAGAACACAACACAAATCCAACAGAGAGTACAAGGCAACTACTATGTGCTGCTAAATCCAACCTTCAAAGAGAAACCAGAAAGTGCACCAATCAGTGCTAAGACAAATTATGCTCAGAAATCCAACAGGCAAGCGGTACTGGTAATATGAGGAAACTGTACGAAAACGCCAGAGTTGCTATGGACCAACAGCAAACAAAATGGCACCTATAAAGTCTGCGAAAGGTGAACAGTTGACAGACAAGAAGAAATAAATGGAAAAATGGGTGAAACATTATTCAGACTTTTACTCAGAGGAGCAACATGTTGATAGACAGCTACATGAGGCCATTCCTCAGCTCTCCGAAATGTCAGAACATGATACAATAACAACAGAAGAAAAACTCTCTTCTGCAATGAACTTGCTTGCGGAAAAGCAGCAGGAAATGGCAACATACCTGCTGAAGTGCTGAAAGAGAACAAAGAGACCCTCCACCCATATCTGTACAAGCTACTCATGACTTGTTCGCTGACAGCAGAAATTCCACATGACCTGAGAGATGCCAAAATCACCACACTCTACAAAAACAAAGAGGACAAAGGAAATTGCAACAACTACAGAGGTATCTGATTGCAAAGCATCACTGGAAAAGCTTTCGCTAGGATCATCCTAACGCGACTAGCAGAAAGAGTCCTAGCATAGAGCCAATGCGGTTTCAGATCAAACCGCTCAACAATGGGCATGATCTTTTCTATTCGTCAGCTACAAGAAAAATGCAGGGAATAACAACTGCCTTTACATAGCTCTACTTCGTTCGTCGATCTGTCAAAGGCTTTTGACACCGTCAGTAGATCAGGACAGGACTGTACATGGTGCTTGAAAAAACTGGCTGTCTCCCAATACTGCTACAGCACATAATCTCATTCCACGAAGTTATGAAGGCCACCATTCAGTTCGACGGTTCAACATCAAACAGCTTCAAAATCAATAGCGGAGTAAAGCAAGGTTCTGTCTTAGCACCAACCCTTTTTTAGCTCTGATTTTGCTGTCTTATTGCATTACGCATTCAAATAATCACCAGGGGATGCCTTCCTCCTGGAGAACCTATGGACCGCTCTTCAATCTTGCTTGACTCCAGGCCAAGACCAAGATCTACAAAACAACAGTACAAGACCTTCTGTTCGCTGACGATGCTTCTCTTGTTGCTCCCAGTGAATGAACCCTACAAACAATGATGGACCACCTATCAACAGCATGCACGGTCATTAGTTTGGTCATCAGTGTTAAGAAAAGTCATCCTTTCTCAAGAAGGCGCAGAGCAGAGCTATAATATATGGCTAAACAAACGACAAGGAACTTGAGGCAGTGGACAAGTTCTGTTACCTGGTGTCTACCATTAACTCTACTACATCAATTGATTATGAGATCAACTCCAGGATAGGGAAAGCAACAACAAGTTTTGGAAGGCTGAAAAAACGAGCATGGGAAAACAAAAGATTAACCATCAAAACAAAGATCAAGATTTAGGAAGCATGTGTCCTCAGCACACTCTTTTATGGATATGAAACATGGACCTTGTACAGCAGGCAAGAAAAGCGCCTCGACATTTTCCGTCTCAGATGCTGCCACAAGATCTTAGGCATTTCGAGGCGTGACAAGGTTACAAAAGGTGAAGTGTTGGCACGGGCAAACCTCAGGAGCATGCCAACTATTCTGTGTTTAAAAGATTGGGATGGCTGAACCATGTCAAGAGAATGGACGACTACTGGATTCCGAAGGAAAATCTCTATGGGGAACTTGTCCCGTGAAAAAGACCAAGAAGAAGACCAAAATTGAGATACAAAGACACCTGCAAAAATAGCTTATCAAATCTTGGAGTAGATGTTAACGTCTGGTAGGAAGTAGCTGAGGACAAGAAAACATGGAGGAAAGTGATAGCTGGAAAGGAAACAACTATAATGCTAGAGAGCAGCCTTGGAAACAACCAGGCTGAGAAGCGCTAACGACGAAAGGAAAACAGCGGAAATACAGAGCTTCGATCCACCTCACTGAAATGCAAGCACTGCGACAGAATCTGCGCTTCAAACATAGGAAGGATTAGCCATGAAAGAAGCTGCATGAAGACAACTTTGAGACCACCTTAAGCTAAATTGACCGTCTGTACAGACGAAAAGAGCCAAACATTATTCTTATGATGATGATGATGATGATGATGATGATGATGATGATGATGATGATGATGATGATGATGATGATGATGATAATATTAATAATAAAAATAAAAATAAAAGTAGTAGTAGTAGCAGTAGTAGCAGTAGTAGCAATAGTGGCAGTAGTAGCAGCAGCAGTAGCAGTAGCAGTAGCAGTAGCAGTAGCAATAGCAGTAGTAGTAGTAGTAGTAGTAGTAGTAGTAGTAGTAGTAGTAGTAGTAGTAGTAGTAGTAGTAGTAGTAGTAGTAGTCA